CCTTTCTCCCTGCTTCTCAGGTGCTGATGCTGCAGAAGATGAAGAAGTGGATGTAACGAGTGTGGATCCCATTGCTGCCTTTTGTAGCAGGTGAAAGAATAACTTTAAACAAAGTGTGAATACGAAACACATCACTGACATCCCCCCCAAAGCAGCTCCCTCTGTACTCTTAGGTTTTTTGTGTCTCTGCTGTAGCAGGTAGAAAGAGTTAATTGTGTGAAAAACCACTGGCAGAGAAATAGGCTCAGTGTTTATAAATGAAAAGAAACAAGATATTAAAGACTCCCAGTTTTACAAGAAATCATAACTGTTTATTTTACAGTGATGAAGAACTGGAGGACTCCAAGGCTCTGCTTTACTTACCCATTGCTCCTGAAGTAGAGGATCCGGAAGAAAACCCCTATGGGCCTCCACCTGATGCTGTTCAGAGTTCCTTAACTGATGAGGGGATGGGATCTGAGAAGAAGAGGCAGTCGTCCTCTGATGGACCTCAGGCACCAAAGAAGAAGCCCAAAACCACCAACATAGAGCTACAAGGAGTACCTAATGACGGTGTGTAGAAGCTGCCATTGATTCAGCACCAGTTCTGCATTTGAGATGGTTTTTTTTTCAGCTTTGCTCAGTCCAAAGACAGAAAGTCCAGAAGTTCACTCTTTCCTATAAAGTTAATAATTGTAACAGTTACTAATGGGAAAGTTTGCTGGTGTTTTGCAGGCTAGAAATGAGGGCAGACATCCCAAAGCTGTAATTTTGCATTGCACGCCTCATTTAAGCACCCTGAGGGATAACTCAGCCTGGTAACACCTTGTTTTTTCCTGCAGAAGTCCATCCGCTGCTGGGTGTGAAGGGAGATGGTAAATCCAAGAAGAAGCAAGCAGGCAGGCCTAAAGGATCAAAAGGTAAAGACAAAGATTCTCCATTTAAACCGAAACTCTACAAAGGGGACAGAGGTGCTTTACCTCTGGAAGGAGCAGCGAAGGGTAAAGTGCAGGCGGAGCTGGGACAGCCTTTGACAGGTAAGGACCCACTGTGAGCGTCGTTGCTTGCTTGGTGGCCTTGCACTTTATCTTCCCAAATGGCCCTTGCTCGCTGGATGCCACTGATGTCACTGCTGTCAAGGATAGGCAGATGTTTCTGTATTTGTTTTTCAAGTGGAAGGGCTTTTAGGATTTGTAACAAAAGCGATGTCTGCATGCGTTGTTGCGTACGAGGAGCGCGTTGGGTTTCAGTAGGGATGGCACTGGTTGAAATGAAGCCTTCCTTACAGTCTGTTTGACAATTGGAGCCTGGGATGAAATTCAGGAGCTGAATTCTTTAATCCTGGCTGTGGAGCAGCCTGAGTGGAATTCCAGGAAGTGCAATTGCTGTAAAAGAAGACAGATTTTGTTGGATCATTTTGTGTTCTTTGCTTTATGACCACGCTTTGTTGGTTGCTTACCAGAACAGGACTGTTGCTGTCACCTTTGTTAGGGCCCAGACTTTGAATCTCAGACAGGGACTGGCTCTCAGCTGGTGGCAGTGTTTCCCATCTGTCTCATTTACTACTCGAGCTTATTTGGGAAATGCTCATTCAAGTGTAGTAAAGGAAGTACATGTTTGGATTAAATGATGTGCATTCTGTTTGGGTTTTTTTTTCACTGTAAGAGGGAGCCTGTGGTCGATACAGAAATGGATTCAAAGATGTGATGTAACTGAGATCTCAAGTTTTGCATTTCTTTGAACAAAGCAGTGCTGTGGATTTTAGACTGCACAGAATTGTTGGGTTTTTTTTGTTTTTCCCTCCTCCTTCCCTCACTGCTGATCCTGTGTTACCCCCTGTGTTTTTGCTTATCACTTCCTATGCAGTTGTTACAGTCTGACTTGCTTTTATGAGACCACTGTAGAATTTAATTTGCTAATTGTGCTCAGCTTGAGATGTTCATAACCCTATCAGTGAGTTCAGCACTGGGTTTTTGGGCAGCGTGAAGACTGAATTGGGGTTGAGTTTAGACCCCAAATTCTCTGCTTTCTTTGCCCATTGGAGGTAGTAGAACTTTTTCAAATGTATTTTTACACAAGCATGTAAGGGTGTTCTGCCACCGTGCTGGTATTCAGCTTGATTGAGCTAGAGGCAAATAACATTGCATGGATGGAGTCCTGTCTCAGCTATTGAGCTCCCTTACACAGTGCTGCTGATTTAAAAGGATCTACCAGATCCATGCAGCAGATCCCACCACTTAGTGCTGGAAATGTCTGTGTGAGTCACACAGTGAGTCACAGACTGCCCACAGGAGGAGCTGCCCCTTGGCTCCCAGCACTCAACAACAGTCTTCTAGTCCATGAAATCCACGTCTCTCTTGTCTTCTCTTTATGACTTGCAATGTCTATTTTGAACAGCCAGTTCTCCCTGGGGGCCAACCCACGTGCAATGCAACGGCCTCCTGCCTGCACTGCTGGAGCTGGGCACACTCCTGTCTCTCTTGCATGAAGCTGTTAGCTCTGCTCGTTCCACGTGCTGCTGCTTCCTGCAGGAGCCCATCACTCACTCACACAGCCTCTCCACAAGCATTTATTCTCTGGGACCTGCAGGCTGATTTGCTGTTACAGTGGATGTTTGGGAGCTGCTTGGCTGGGGCCTGGCAGCCAATATCTTGTTGTCAAAGCAGCTGTGTCAAAATTGGCTTTCAGTAAAAACAAACTGGGAAGCTTGATCTGTTGTACAGCTTTTAGAGCAAAGCCATGCAGCAGTCTTGTTTGACTTCAATGTAGGAGGAACTTGTTCCTTTCTGTTATGCTTCTGCTTTGAGGTTTTGGGGTCGGTGCATCTTTCCAGCAGGTAAGTGTGCTTGTGGGGTAAAAGCTCACAGACCATGAACTGCCTCATCTGTGCCTGTGGTCTCAGATACAGAGTTCTTAATTTGTGGTAGACGGTGCCTCGTTGGTTGTATCTCATTCTGGAAGGAACGTAGAGAATCGTATTCTCAAAGGCTTTCAGTTTATTTTCATTGATTTCAGAACCTGTCGGAGTCAGATGATTTATTTTTCACCTGTATTTGATCTCTTTAGCAGGTGGTGCCATCTCGGAGCTGTTATGAAGACCCTCTTCTTTATCCTCCTCTGTTCTTTCCCGTGTTGGCACCATAACATGGAGAACAGATGCAGCAGTCAGAACGGACTGACTTTAATACAGCAGCCTGATTGTTCATGGATTCAGGGAGTGACTTTTATAAGAGATGAGTATTGAAGAGGAAACGGCCTTCGTTCTTCCTTAATTGCCTCTTGGTCGAGCAGTGTGAGATGCTGACTCTCAGGTCACACAGTTTGCAAAGAGACTGGCTGGACTGCCTTCATGTTGGCACGTGTGATGTTCTGCACTGAGCTGGTACCCTACCCTCTGCCACTCCAGAGCTCATCACCAATTGTCTTTTAAGTCATTTTTTTGTTCCTGGATTGAAAAATCCCCAAAGTGTGCATTTTTATTCCTGATACCAATGACTGTGTATCCTCCAAACTTCCTTTTCTTTGCTGTTAATTCCCATTCCAGTGAGTTGTGGGCCTTTCTGTGCCAGCTGCGTTGCCTTGCAGCTTTGGTTAGCTCAGTGTGATGCCTTCTATGCTGACATGCTTAGTGAAACTGCTGCTGATTATGTGCCAGGTTTGATTTCATCTCAAGTGGCTAGAGACCTAACGTGAAGAATCAAGACACCCTCTGAAGTCTGCAAAGAATGAATTTTCATGTTGTTAATATTTTAGACACGAAGGATGACTCTGCTGATGGGAAGAGGAGCGCGTGGAGGTAGCTGTATAAAATACAGTCTAGACAGAAGTGTATAAACTGAGTGGTATGAAGAGCACTGTTGGCAGTGTCTTTCTCTCCTTGCAAGCGTGTTTATTCTGTTTCCATTTAAGATGCCCCACCAGGAATGCTGTTCCCTCCTTAGCTGCTAAATGCTGGTACTTAGAGAAGGAACAGCCAATATTTCTCCTAACTGGAACTGTATTTTTTTTTCAGCTACTCTTCCAGGGCTTAAAGATGAAATGAATAATGGTGTGATTGTAAAAGACAAACATGTGGACCATGACTTTTTAAAAATGCTCTTTTTCCTTTTTTTCCCCCCCCATTTCTGAGTCAAATATAGAAGGTGAACACTCACAGCTTATTCCAGCTGTGCTTTAACCTTTCACCTGCAATATTTTCCATGTGGGATTGGGGTGGAGACGCTTCTCTCTATCTGCTATCTGCATCCAGATCTTTCTGTACCAAACTAAGTTTCCATTCCCAATGCCCTTTGTTTTGTAGAGACTTCCTAGTTCCTACAGATTACCTTCAGGTTTTCCCCAGATGCAATTATTGAGGTTATCACCGAGTATTTAGATTTCCAAAGCATCCTGCAGACATTAAAAGCCGAGGAGTCACGAAGGGAGGTGTTAATTTGCAGTGGGAAGCACGCAGTGATGACATGATACATAAGCATGGCAAGAGAGGAGACGTGTTACATCAGAAGGATTTCACAGACTGGTATTTTCGTTTCCCGCCTTGGTGCTGTGATCAGCTTGATGCCATTTGTTCCCACGTGGGCAGCATCGGTTTCCTTTGTTCTTTCTGCTCGTAGGATGGCTTGCATCTCCTGTGGAAAACTGTTTTGTCAAACCTGCCCATACGTGGCGTGGCTGAACGCAAAAGCTTCACAAGGTGCACAGGCAGTGGCTCTCCTGGTTGTGTTAAAGCGAATCGTTTGCCACAGACTCCAGCCTTCATTTCTGTTAAACCCTCTCTGTACAGTCTGTATGTCCTTGGTTTGTTGTCTTCTCTCTTTTGTTTTATTTCCTGACGTCTGTAGTTTTGTACAATACTGGTCAGATCCTGGCTTGGTGGTAGCATATAGCACTGGTTTAGGTTTGTGCCTGTAAATAAAGAGGTATGTTTTATTTCCTAAAGTCGTGGCTAAGTCTTGGCTTTTCCAAACTTTGTGGTGGTTTCTGTTGTGATGCTGCCAAGGAACCCTGCCCTACAGCTCTGGTGCAAACGTGTGCCTTGGCTGGTGTCATGGCTGGTTTTATTGCTATTCTTGGTCTTTCTGCAGTGTGGCATTTGGTTGGTGGTGTCTTTACTGAAATCCCCCACGGAAGGAAGACCTGAGTGCAGTGTAGGAACCCTGAGAAGTGCTGAAGGGAACTGAACACGAAGAGTGCTGGGTGCAGAGAGCATCTCTGCAGGAGCTGACTGCGTTTGTGGCCGTTCTCCATCTCAGAAGCCGTTTTGTTTTTAATAAATTAAGGGCTATTGGGAAGAGAAACTTGGATATTCATTAGCCAAGCCAGTGAAGAACGTGGCATTCTAAATCCTTTCTGCAATCCATCGTTCAGACAATCTGGTTATTGACCTGGTTTGACCATAGCTCTGTTACACCATCAGAAAGAAACAACTTGATCATGGAGAGCTTTTCTCATTGCTCTGTTCTTTCGGGATGCAGTGGGGCTGGTGCTGTTGAATCCCATCTGCATCTGCTTTCCAACCCATGCAGAACCACTGGGTGCCATCAACTCTTGGACAATGATGGGTGCCAGTGACGCAGCCCTGCTCACCCCTGATCTCTGGATGTCAAAATCTTGTTCTCATCATCTTGGTCCTTTGGGGAGGACTTCAGATTTTAGGATAAGTGTCTATAGAGCAGAGCCATACAGCTGCTATGGGTGTCATGATTTCTTTGTGCTAAGCAACATTGTTTTAGAGGTTCCAGTAATTAAGATGTATTGTTTTATGGTTTGCTGGGAAGATTGAACTGGAACAGCAGCGTGGAAATTCATCTGAAATAGCATGGAAATGTCAAGGAGTAGAAAGGAGGACTTAATAAATAGTCAAGCAGATCCCAGTTGCTGGGATACAGTGGGTTTAAACTGTTCCTGCTGCCTGGGAACTGGAACCCCTCATCGGTTCTGAGCCACACAGTGATGTTGTGCCCCTTCCCTGGCAGTGTCATGCTTCAAACCTGCCTCGCTGGGGGATGCTGGTGAGATTTCTGTTTGAAGATTCACCAGAAGTTGTTCTGACTGCTGAATTTACACGGTGCCACGTCCGATGGCCGCCACGAAGACCTTGGGGAGCGGCTGCATCCTTGGCGCGGTGCTGCCTTGGGTTTTCTGCCTCCTGTTGGGGGCAGCTTCCTTTCCTAAAGTGACCATCCCACCAGAGCTGCAGTCAGCAGAGGCTCACGTTGCAGTGAACGCCACGTCGTGCAGCGTCACCTGCGGCCTGGGCCTCCAAGTGGAGGAAATGTGTGAGATCACAGCAGCAGGGGAGAGGAAGAACTGCACCACGCGCCGCTCGCACTGCACCACCACGTGGGGCTGCGGTTTGCTGCACCTCACCGTCCCTGTGGGCAAACCCCTGGTGCTCAGCTGCCTGACCTCAGACGTCATCGATCTGGGAGTCAGAGGGTACAGCTGCACGTGGAAACTCGCCCCGGGTCTCATCACCATGAATGATGTTTTGTTTGCACCTTTCAGAAACCCGGGTTTCGCCGTTGCCTTTTCCCCAACCAAGGAATCTGATGCTGGGACGTACCGCTGCGACGTGCGCGTGTTGAAGACGTTCAGGGTCATCAAGAGGATCTACTTTGGGCTCAGGGTGATCCGAAATGACTTGGTGGACCTGGACTTTGGCAAATCCTTGACTCGAGAGCAGAAGCTGGCAGTCAGGAACGAGGAAGGAATCGAAGCCAACAGCACCCTTGTAGACGTGGAGGAGAAGCTGTACTTTTGGCAAAGAAAATCCTTTCGTAGATCCTTGATAGGGTTTGGAACCGGGCTGGTAGGGGTCGTCGTGGTGAGCCTGGCTCTCCGCTGCTTGCAGGAGAGGTTGAGAAGCAGAGCTGCAGAGGATCAGACTCAGTTCTAGTGCGATTTCTTGTCTCTGTCTCGCTTATTGTCACAAGTAGAGCAACATCAGTATTGGTGCACTGTTTCACAATGAGGTTTGTAGTTACTCTCTTGGTTGGGTTGGAGAGTTTGGGGTGTTTTTGTTTTGTTTTGCAGCTCGTAACTTGGGATCCTGTTTCTCCCTCATCCTCTTGAATTTCTTCTCCCTTGCCCAGGTTTGTGACACAGATCCCTGAGGTCGGTAGCTGGAGCAAAAGAGGTGCAGAGAAGTGAAGATGCTGCAGCTGGGTCCCTGCTGGGTCTCTGTGGTCCTTCCCAGCAGACCCCAAGGTCTGTTTTGGGGATCTGGGAGTGCTGGGAGGAGCTGAGCCGCCGCTCCCTGCCTGTTGTGTTTGTTTGTCTCCCGCTTCAGAAAGCTGAAGCATCATCAGCAGTAGTTGGAAGCTTCCACTCTTCCCTTTGTAGTTCAGAACAGCGAGGCAGGGAGCATTAGGCAGCACAAGCACATCTTCAATCTGAGCACTGCAGCTCAAGGAGCGTAACGGGGTGGTTTTAATCACGACTCAGAGCTGAGCTCACTCCTAAAATCTTTAAAGGAGGAGGAGAGGGAAGAGTTCAGCGGGCCTGTGGCTCGTTTTCCTGGTGACTAATAAGTACAAAGCGTGCAGCAGCACTGTAGGGAGCATTGTTTCCCCATTGGTAGCAGAATCCGCAGAGGGACTTATTAAGTGCCTTCTCTCTCTGGTTTCTGTCTTTATTTTACAGTAAACAACTCTATTTACTCGCTCTGTTTCCTTTTTTTTCCCCGTGAACTCAAGTACAGGAATGCACCACGCATCCAATTCCGGGGAAAGTAATGATGGAGCTCTGCTATTTAGATCAAAGCATACTATTATATTTTTTCTTCAGACCAGAAAAATAATGCTTTAATGTAGAAAGAGCTGAATATACAAGCAGACACTTTATTTGCAGAACATCCTATTGAAAGAAAACAACATCAGACCAAAACGTAGCGAGCTGAATCTTCATGTCCAATTAAGTGGGTAATGGGTATATCTGAATAATGATCTGCAGGCCGTGGGGTTGTCTGTGTTTGAGTGAGGAACTGAGCCTGTTAGCAGCCTTGGATTCTCTGTGGGTTGTTTGCTGGGTTCTGAGGGAAGAATTCGCTGCTCACAGCCACTGGCAGAGGTTGGTGGAGGTGAAGGGGGCCGTCCTGCAGTGCTGGAAGTTTCCCCTGGGTGTGCATTTGTTGACTGGCTCTGCTTTGCGCTGGTTTACTGCTGAGCTCCCCTGTTGAGCCTTGCTTTAGGCTAACTGTTCTTAACAACAGATTTCTCATCGATTGAAACACACGCAGGGCAGGCTGCCTCTGGGCAGGGCGAGGGGGGTCAGCTCGGCTTTCTGCCCACACTTTCTCCACCCCTGAGCAAAATGCAAGCAGGGGAGACCCAGATCTTGGTTCTCTCTTGTCACCTCATCCTCTCACCCGCAGGGAATCTCCTCTTTCCAAGCAGCAGCACTGACACAGAGCAGTGCACACCCACATTTAGGACACCTCGAGGAGCCCACTGCGTGCCGGCTGCGTTCATCCCACCCAGACCTCTCCTGTCTGTGGCTTTTTTGATGGTGAGTGCCCCACATCCTGGGATATGCGTGCAGCAGACTTTCAGAGCTCATTTTGCTTCTGAATGTGAAGAAATTGAGCTCTGTATGCTACAGATACACACCACAGGAGAGAGGAGGCTCCTTTCTGCATGGGGTGAGACCTCCTCGGGTCCTGTCTGGGGCTGGAGGACCCTCTGAATAGCAGGAGCAGGCAGATGCTTCCTCGGGAGCTGGTGGTTAAAACCCACAAAGAAGCAGTCCCATCTGGAGGAGTCCCCTCACACTTTGTAATGCAAATACAGAGCTTGTTTCCTGTGGGCAGCCGGGTTTTAGAAATGCAGAAAGATGACATGAAAGGTCCAGGAGCTTCCGTTTCCTCAGCGCTGATGAGGAGGTCAAAGTGGGAGCCAAAAGAGTCCTTCATCTTTTGATGGTCTGCTCCCTCTTCTTGCCAAGGGGAGGCAGTTGCCCGGAGCTGTGAAGCTGAATATGGTTCTTTTAATGTTTTAAGATGGAAGGCAGTGATGGACAGTGTGGCACCAGCACCGGGAAGGGCAGAACGGGGCCTTTGGCTGCTGTTTGAAATGATGCTTTCCCTGCGTGCTTTGAGTCTGCCTCCTCTCCTGTGTAACTGTTCTGCACTGCAGAAAAAACGTGTCTTCTTGCTGTTATTTTGTGCCTCAGCTTCTTTCTCCTCCATTTCAGCAGTTGTTCCTCTGTCTCACCCAGAGGAGGGGGCTGCAGAGGGGCTGCCTGCACACCCCTCCTCACACTGAGGCTCTCTGTGGCACAAACTTCTGCAGCCTGCTGCTGGGCCCAGGTATTAGGAAGCAATTAGAATTGCACATGCTAAAGCCAAACAGATTGTGTGAGGGAGGAAGTCAATTTGCTAATGGCATTAGCACTTGGATAGAAGGAGGCAATAACAGAATGGTGAGGCACAGGCAGCTGTTTAAATTGCTGTTAGCTACTGAAGCTTATCTAAATTGAATAACTAGATTGACTTAACTGCTGGAATTTGAATGGTAGCTAAGAGGAAAACAACCCCCATATGCTGCTTTTACACCCAGCCTGGCTCTGCCATCCTCTGCACGCTGATCTGTGTTAATTCTTTTGCTCAGTCCCACAGTCTGCTGGGGTGCATTGAGCAGTGCAGCTCACAGGCTATTGCCTTCTTCTTCTCCCTTTCCCAGCACTCTGCCTTCCCTCACTGCTGCTCTCCCCCCCTTTGGCTCATTTGTTACTATCTTGTTTGCTGCAGGCATCCCTTAAACCTCAAGCAGGATGGAGTGCCTGGAAATGTGGCAATTTTCTTCAATAACCATTGGTTTTGTAGAACAGCTTTCTTAGCCCGGTATTGCAGAGGGTTTTGCAACATAACAGTGGAAGTGGTTCGGTGGGAGCAACAACTGGGCTTGCAAATGCAGCAGCAATGCAGTGCTCAGCAATGGAGCTCAGCTCAGATGCCTGCATACCTCCAGGAGAGGCTTTTAGCAGGTAAGGTGTGACATGCATTGCTTGTGGCTACGAAATGCATGCGAGTGCACAGTTACCACCTGCATAATGCATCCCCCTCCTTCCCCACACAAGGAAGGATGCTTTGAAGAAATCCAGTTTGCTCTCCCCTTTCCTTTTGCTGCCTTCCTCCCAGCACAGCTGCACTGGGAGCTGTAGATATTCTGCTTGTTCCCTCCCCTGCCATTTCTCCCAGCTTTTTTGGCAGTGACACCCTGCAGACATTTGTTCACTTGTTGCCTGTCTCTTGTGATAGCAGCGTGGAGCTTTGGAGCGTGTGAACAAAGCGGTGTCTTTTGCTGAAGCACGCTGAACACTGATGGGTTTTTGGGTTCGTGTATTATCTCAGGTGAAATAGAGAAAAACAAACCCACTGTTGCAACGCTAATCCTAAGCAGGGGCGTGTTGGTTAACTCTGCATTAGAAGACGTTGAGTCAGGTGTGCTTAGTCTGATTCCAAGGTTTGAATGGGCTTCACCATGGCCACCAATTTCCCCTTGGTGTCTGTGTGCTGTTAATGATGGCACTTGAGAAAGCAGAAATGCACTGGGGGCGATCCATCTCTGTGCTGGCTGCTCCCTGCTGCGTGCTTTAATTATGCTTCCCCCCACCTTACAAAGCCCCTCTGCTGCTGCAGTCCCTGAGCTCATTAAGGGGCTGTGGGGAGGAGCGGGCTCACCTGCGGCCCTGCACAGTGTGGGGCAGAGGGGCCACAGCTTGACATGGGCTGAACACAGCTGAGCTGGGCTCTGGGACCTCATCCTGCCCCTAAGCCACACTAAGGGCTCAGTGTGTTGTTTGGCTGCCAGATAAACTCATCCCTCCACCCGTGGGCAGTGGGGGCTCCTTGGAAAAGGAGTCCATCCCTCCCCCTCCATCCTTACCCCTCCATTTCTCCCCACGCACTGCACCATTCAAACTCATTGGAGCTGGAAGCTTACAGGCCAGCTTCAAGAGCAGTTGGGGTTTTCCCAGCACTTTCCCAAAGGTGACCCTTTTTGCTTCCATCCCAAAGCACGTTCTTTTTGTGAGCTGATGTGGAGTTCAGCTTGGTGGGAACAGAAGTGCTTAAGCACAACTGAATGTGAGCGAGTGCAGCAGGGAGGTCTGGGTGATGTTTCCTGTGGCCACTGCTGCTCAGCCCCCATCTCACTGCCCACTCTGACTCCAGCACAACCACAGAGCTGTGCCACACACCGCTGCTCCGTCCCTTGGAGTCCATCCTGCAGGTAGAGGGAAGCAAACAGGTTTTATTTAAGGCCAGAAGGAAGGATGGAGATGGATTAATCCAACAGAGCGCAGAGCAGGTGATTTCATGCCGTGCTTCCTGCCATGGTGGAAATTATTTTCTGTAATGGAAGTGAACCTTCACGAGCCTGCTGGCTCGTGGCTGGTCTCAGGGATATCCTTCCTGGAAGAACTCCAGTCAGGGTTTAAATGCTGCGATGGATGATGAAGGTTTTTTGGCAAGCTATCCTAAAAATCAATTACCCTTTTTGCTAATGAGCCACGTGAAATTTCTTACTTGAGTTTTCTAGCATTACTTGCTTGCCATCAGAACACCAGCCAGGAAAAGCACATTAAATTAACAGATCTAAGCAGAACCCCAACAGACACCTGCAATTCCTCGCCCTGAGGGCAGCCCCTCCTCTTCCCATCAGATATCGCTGTCTGTGGGGTAGAACCAGAGCTTACTGTGTTCTAATTAACTTCTGCTGGGTGTTCTGTCTGTGGGTGCCATTGGCAGTGCAGGGCTGGGGGGATGCTGAGTGCTCCCAGTGCTCGTTGCCCTTCCAGAAGCATTCCAGGCTCCAGCAGTTGTCTGAAGTCTCTTAAGATCTTTATTTAAGAACTGAGTGCTACTGTAGCCAATAAATAACCATAATTACAGTAAATACAGTATGCTTACAGTGCTCCCCATTTGTTTTCCTTAAAAAAAATAGTTAACAAGCAAGTTGTTGAGAAGAAAGCTGCCTGGGTGCAGTGAGGCTGGATGAAAATATTCCCAGCTGATGGTTGGTGTGGTGGGGAACAGCTCTGCAGGTTTGGAGCAGGCAGGATTCAGGACTCCAGGCTTTATGGATGGGATGCCATCCCATTCTTTACCCCGTTATGAATGGGATTTGTTACTCAGCTCCTTCCTTGGGTGAAGGATGGGAACGTCTCCCATTTGGGATCAGTGTTGAATCATTCCTGCTGTAACTGAGCCCTTCCTCATCCAAACCCACCTGGCTGAGTGCTGAGTTTGGTCCAGACCTCCTAAAATCAGAAACGTAACGTTCCATCTGTAACTTCAGTACGACCAGGTAGGCTATTGCATGTTAGATGTGAATATATCAGAGCTGTTCACCTGGGAGACCCAAAGCTTTTTCACCCTCGTTGCTTATCCCTTCCAGCATCCTCGTGGCATTGGTGGCACTGCTAAGAAGTAAGAAGGACCCTGTGAAATTGGATGACTTCCCTCACTGAGCCATAACAGCATTGGAACAAAACCCGGGCGCTTAACTCGTCCCTGTAAGTCAATTCCTAAAGTAAATGCTCACAGCAATTACACGTGAGGGATTGTTAATGAGACAGGAAATTGATTTGCAGCTTAATGCAACAGTGCAAATCCAGTGACCTCGTGTTAAGATGCTGAAATCTTCTGTGTTCTCCCCCAGCTCACAACACCCTTTAGGCCCCGTGCTGCACTTCAGAAGCTCTGAGTGCTCTCACAGGAGGTTTCTCCCAGATCTTTCCCTCCTACTGAGGGCTTTGGTTGGGCTTTACATGTGGGTTTATTTTATAGCTTGGATAGAATTTAATTGGGTACTGCCTCGGGTGTGCCTTGCTAAAGGAATAGGTGTGTGTGCACATCACTGTGCATCCCAAAGCCCCCTGAGAAATTCAAGGGGAAAATGGGCTGCCCCCAACAAGGCAGCCCTTGCTGTAACACAGCCAGTGCCTCTGGGAGCCCTCTGCTCTGCCTTCGGCCTCTGTGGGCGCTGCAGGTGGGGAATCCTCACTGCTCGCCCTGCTCTGCACCCAGCCTGCATCCCTGCGTGTGCTGCAACGCCTTTCAGTGTGCCTCAGTCTTTGCCCCAAGTCAGTGCCTGGTGGGCACATGGCTGACTGCATGCACTTTTCAGGGCTTCTTTGTGATGGTGCTTTGGGGAGCAGTGGTGTGAGCAGTGCTGGGTGACAGCACAGGGCTGGGGGCAATGGGGTCCCAGCCTTGCTGAAAGCTGCTCTGCTCTGAATCAGCCCCAGCAGTGTGAGTGCACAGATGTTGCAGACTGCCTGGAACATGCAAAGGCACCACTTGCCTCACTTCCCACGAGGGGAAACTGCTGGGGTCTGGAACCTGTGTCACATCTGGGGTTAGAGCAGTGGCTATGGCCATCTCTTGGTCACACTTCTTTGCTTCTGTGTGTAGTCCTTAAAACGCTGCAAAAACGGAGCAGCGTTTTGGTTAAAATGCATCCTGATGAAGCTGTGTGTGTGCTCGTGATTTATCTTTTCAAAAATGAGGCATAACTTGAATTCAAATAGCGAACATTTAGCTATCAAGGGGACCTACTTGTCACTTAAGGGCTTTAGGAAATACTGTCCCATGAATTTTACATGGCAGAGTATATTCAGGCCGTTTGCAATGCAGAGCAGTGCCAGCCAGAACATTTGAAATCCAACCATGAAGTTTTTCACTGATATAAACTGTGCCTGTGATCTACTTCAACCCATAAATACATGGAGAATGTACAAACCTTCCCAGGGATTGCTGCAGGTGGCAGCTATTTAGCACCCAGTGGCACTACCGCATTTAAATGCTTTTTTCACTGTGCTAGAAATCACCATCCTGTGAAGTTAAATCAAGTGTTCACAGCCACTGTTGTTGCTGGACACATCTGGAAGCATCTGCTGAGGCTGTTTGAGTCAGGGACAGGCTGGTGCAGAGCCTCAGCCCCTGAGTGTGGCAGTGGGGCTTTGCTTTGCTTTGCTCTGCTCACTTGTGACAGTTCATCCAGCAGGCAGGCGGTCTAACCAAGCACAGTCAGTTGCTCTGCAGCTGTGCACGCACCTCTTGGAGGCACAGAGCTCTGCCTGTGCTCAGCAGCTGCTCCAACTCTGCTGCTTGGGTTCTCATGTAACATCTGTGCCCAACGCTGGGATGGACATCGGGTCAGAGCCAAGCCTGCACCCCACTGCTCTGCTTTTCCCCCCATGTTGCTCAGTGGGTGTCTTCAGGAGGAGAGTTTCAGTTCCATCCCACGCTGCAGAGCACAGCAGGACCCAACCTGGGCTCCTCCAGCTGCTGCACCTCAGTCCGATGGTCCCTTTTGGGGACTTCATGTCATCCTTCTCCCATTTGCTCCTTTCCCAAAACTCTGCAGAGCTGCAGGGAATGGTTCATCAGTGCTTCCAAGCTCAGTAGGTGCAGCCACGTTTTTGCCTCCTCCACTCTGCATCGACCAGACTGCCTGTGACCAAGCCCTGATCTTCCTTGTTTTGACCTAACACTGAATTCCTCATTCACCTCTCATCCTTCCATGGGAGAAAGGCCCAAGGCCCAGCGAGGTGGATGGAGATATGGAGATGGTGATAAAAACACTGATGTAACAAGAGAAAACATTCTGCCAAAGGAAAAAAAAAAAAAGAACAACAACAAAAAAAAAGGGTTCCAAACCTGAATAGAAATATTTAAAAGTCTTCAAGAACTTATCTGGTATAAAAATAGGAATTTATGTTTAGATGTTGTTGTCCTCCTGAAGGAACTGCTGGGATCTGCTGCAGGGATGGAGGGTTAATCCACGGAGAGCTGCAGAGCGAGGGGGGGTCCCTCCATCACTGCCTGCCACGCACCAGTGGGATCTGCATTGCTTTTTAGTTTTTAGTTTTTAGTTTTTATTCAAGGGAAACCAAAGAGCCCTTTCTTTTTTTTTGCTTTAGCTGCCCTTTAAATGTTATTAGTTTTGTGATGTTTGTTTTCCCCTGCCTGTTCCCTCAAGCATTTCTCCTGCTCCCTAAGCACCGTGGGACCCGTTACCTTCTTGCTTCCAGATGCGACAAACTGGTAATGGGAAGCTGTGGATGTGCAGCAGGCCTCACTCCTCCGGGAGGGCAGGGATTTATGCATGTAATCTCTTTAATGCTCACTAAAGCCAAGGACATGTTAGTTTTAAAATGATTAGCTGGGGTAAGGAATTGGCATCTAGCATAGGAGCTGTGTGCCAGTCCTTTCCCATTGCACCAGCCAGGAAGGTGAATCATTCCATTGCTTTACTGGGAGATGCAGAATTTTTAATAGGTGGCAGCTCTTCCCAACCATTTCAATCAGTGGGGAGGCTGGACATCCCCACGTTGGGGTGTCAGCCCTATGTACATTGGCCAGGCACACTGAGGATCCATCATACGTCCCCAAATCTGGGACTGGGGATGAATGCCCCGTTCCAGATCCTCCTTGTTGCCTCAGCTTTGTGAAGTCTGCAGGTCTTGGTTAATTTGCGTCGTGTTCCCTTCTCTTCCTTCTTTCAGGTCCTCTCCGCCTTGAAATGAAGTATCTCCAAGCCTTCTGCATCAGGAGGATCTCTCTCCAAACGGGTGGATTTTCTCTTACCCCTCCCCAGACAACAAAGAAGCAAACAACATAACAAGAACACTGCGGACCAGGTGGGATATGGATCACATCAAACATTGCACCTCACAGCATGGCAGCTGTTACAAACACGAGGCTGCGAGTTAACACCAGTGTCATAAAAAAAAAAAGAAGATGTTCACAAGCTAAACTCTTGTGTGCACCCATCTCCTTCAGGATGAAGCAGAGAGTGGTGTCTCTTGTGGCTTTGTCTCCTTGGGCTCATTGCTGTGGCATTTGGCTCTTATTTGGGGAAGTGAATCGTGGCCCATTGCTCCATAGAGATGGCTGTGGTTGGGGTCGGTGTGGAGCGTGCCCATCACTTGGAAGTCCTCAGTCCCCAAATTCCCTTCCCCCTCCCCCAAATACACTGTACATATTTTAAAAAAAGTCAAGTTTAGCAGTCTGGTTATTGTAGTACATGGCTTCGTAAGGCAGAAAACCTTCTCAATGTGGTGAACAGGGCAGTCGGCTGTCAGAATTTGGGTAGAATTCTTCTTTGCTATACTCACTTCTTAAAAAAAAAAAGTCGATTGGTTGCAGACCCACGTCTTGTATGAAGTCTCACACTCTTCCAAAGGAACGACAACAACAAAAAAAGCTGTTTTTCTTTCTTCCTCCCTTCAGATAATGTTAGCAAATCCCTCTCTGTAACACTGCTGCGGTCCAAACATGGAGGTGCAGCACCAGACATCAAGCAGTTCCTGCTGCCCTGGGAGGAGGGATGTCCCACATCTCAGCTTTGCTGGCCCCATCAGAGCTCCAGGTACCGGATCAGGGCCACCATGGCCAGGGAGTTGGTGGTGATGATGGCAGCGTGTGGCACCGGCCTCGTCACGGAGTCTTCCACCATCATACTGGTCCCTGGAAGAAAGGGAGCAAGGAAGGGGCAGCTGTGGTGCTGCATGGGCACAAAGGTTTCTTGCAGAGATATTGATGGTGCAGTGTTGGCTGTGGGGTTCTGTGTGCTCCTGCTGTGCATGGCACAGGTGAGCCTCCCTGAAATGGTTGTGTTTGAAACAAGAATTTGGAGGTGGGATTTGAGCATTCATGCACTGAATCAAGGAACTGGGGGTGGGGCTCCTATTGGAGGCTCTAAATGAAGTCAGGATGTCACAGTGAATATAATTTGGGTGGGAGTCGGGGGGCAAAGGGTTTCAGCTTCAGGTGATCAAGCTGGGTTTGGTTTAAACTGAAGAGTTGCTAAGAGGGGCTATGGAGATTTTGGTGACCAAGTCAAAGAACATGACAGCAAGTATTCCTGGAATTGGATCTATTGTTTTGCAGCGTTCTGGGAAGCACCCTGAAGATGAGCATTTGTACCCGGGGTGCAGACGTACCACTGTTTCGGAGGATGTGGACTTCTGCTGGGATCCCATCCCCCCCAGGCCCCGTCACCCGGATCTGTACGAAGGCATGAGTGAAGTCCTCAGGCACTGGGATGTCGATCCGACTCTTGCTCGCCAGGTACAGCGTGGGAGCAGAGTGGGAATCCTGCCTGTAAAGCATCTGTTGGAAGAAGCAGGTTTGAGTTTACGTTCCCTGCGGTTTCCTTAGTGTAACAGAAGGCTCTCGGCATGCTTGCCTGTACCTTGTACCCTGTAACTGCAGACTCATCTGCCTGTGCCACCACTGGGTCCCACTTGATGGTGACTGTAGACCCAGTCAGAGTCCAGGAGATGTTGCCTGGTGGCCTCCTTGGTGCTAAGAGATAAAAAAGGAGACAGAGATTCAGCGAGCCAGGGGCTGATGGAGGGGCTGTGCTGGTTGCACCCATCTCTTGAGCCTCTCTGGTTCATGAATAGAGCTGTGGGACACCTTGTTGGTTTAATGGAAGGCATCCCAGAGAGCATTACAACATTTTTGAAGGAGAGAAGGAGAAAAAAACTGTTTTCCCTTGGTGCTATTTGTAACAAATGGCATTCCCCCTTCGAGGCTCAGAGTATTTCTTCATGAAGTGTAGATGTGGCACTCGGGGATGTGGTTGGTGGGCATGGTGGGGATGGGTTGATGGTTGGGCTTGGGGATCTTTGAGGTCTTTTCTAACCTTTACAGTTCAATGACTGCATGATTCTATGGTGAGCAGGGCTGATCCTAGGAAACGGAGGGAGCTGTTTTATTGACTATTTGGGATGGCTTTAGGGCACTGAGAGGTGCAAGCTGATTGGCCAGCTGCTTGCTAGGGGTGCACAGGAGGCAGCACCGTGTAATGGAGGCGGTCAGAGCTCACTCACGTGGCTTTATGGTTGTGATGTTGGTGGAGGGGCTGGGGGGCCCAGCTCCAGCACGGTTGTAGGCTCGCACTGAGACGTGGTATTTCGTGTTAGGATTTAGGCCTGTGACGTGAGCCGATGTGACCAACCCTGCTGTTCTCACTCTGTCAGCTGCCTCCTCTTTATCGCCATCCTTCCAGTACCGGATCTGAATAGAAAAGGGTTCAGTAAGGAAAGAAGTATCTGCGAATTTCCATTCAAGAACAGTGTTGGACGCCCCTTGGCACTTGGGACACAGGTTGGTGAGCAAGGTGAGGATGGGTTGGTGGTTGGACTTGGTGATCTTGGAGGTTTTTTACAGCTTGAGTGATTCTCCCTTGTTCCCACGATGGGCTCGTACCTCGTAACCCAGCAGCACGCCAGTCATGTCTCCCTGCTCCACTGGCTCCCAGGACACATCCATTTCTGAGGACAGAACAGCTTTGGCTGTAACTCTGAATGGAGCCACTTTTGGTTCTGAAAAAGACGAGAAAAAGGGATAAAATGCTTTTCCAAGCTCTGGGCAGTGCATTCGCTGTACTGAAAGGAGAGGCTCGCCTCAGCACCTTAACCGTGCAGCCCGACAGCTGGTATTGTGTATACAGAGCAAAGAAAGGGGAAGGGATTGAGGGACTTAGCAGGTCAAGGAGACCAACAGCTGCATGCTGTGAGGATCTGTCTGCTCTGTGCTTAGGGAAGCCTCTATCTGTGTACTGAAGGAGAAGATAAATCCTATGCTCAAATCACTATCGGCTGCCCTTAGAATGGCAAACCTCTCCTATCAGCAAGCCGCCAGACAGCAAGAGCCCCTGCTGTCCCCTTCACCTTCTTCTGCGGAGTACACGATGGCTGTGAGGCTCTCTGGTCCCTCTCCTTTCCTGTTGTATGCTTTGATCTTCACTTCGAAGGGGGTGTAGGGCCCGATGCTCTCATTGCGGTACACGTAGTGCAGGGATTCCGCGTGAGGCACGCGGGCAGTGAGCCATTCCTGAGTGCCCTTCTTACGAAATGACAGGATGTAGCCAAAGCCATCTCCGTTCTGGTAGTCCCGCAGTGTTGGCTGTGAGGAAAAAGCCTTGGGTGGAAAAAGCATTTCTGGATGGGGCTTTCAACAAAAGGGTCGCATTGAGTGGTGTGGTTTAGTGGCATGGTGGCAACAGGTTGATGGTTGGAACTGATGACTTTAGTGACCTTTCCAACCTGAAAGATTCTATGATTTCCTTATGTCTGCCGTGAGCAAAATTGCTCCTGTGGCTGTTCAGATGCCACTGTGGCAGGGAGGTGATATCTAAGGTCCCTTCCAACCTAAGCCCCTCCGTTCAAGAGAGCAAGACTTTGGGACCGCTGCTAAGCAGTGTTTGGCTCCATCGTTGCATTGCAGCACTGATTTGCTGTCCCCTGCCCTCCCACAGCCCTCCTGCCAGTGCTGTGCCACTGACTCACCGTCCAGTTGATGATGAGCTCATTGGGAGCCCCGCCGCCACCGCCGAGCCCAGATGGTGCCACTGTGGGTGCTGCAGACAGTGCAGGTTGGGTTAAAGGAACAGCAGTGGTGAGGATGAGCGCAAAGACAGGCACAGGCAGCTGCCTCTCAGCCAGAAGTATTTCAGATATTTGTGAAAATCAGGTCTCGAACACTGGCTGGTCCCTGACATGCTTATTTACCAGCAGCGTTCCTCTGAAGGGATGAGAATCAATCTCAAAAGCAGGAATTTGTGGGAGAGTTTAAATTAGAAAGGAGTTAATATGCACTTGGTGCGTTGAGAGTGTTTCTCCTGCTGATCCTACATCCCTTCTGCTTGCGTGTTCGAGCTGCACGAGATAGAATCAACATTTACAGCTGGGAAATTTATCTTGTGTTTGCACAGTTGTGCTCTAATATAATAGGGCTCTTTCACCTTTCTAAGCATTACTACCCAGAACGTATCGTATTTGAAGCTAGGATTTGTAGTGCTTTAATATATTGTTGCTCATGCTGGTGAGGCTGGCTGCCAGTTCTGGTAATTCTTTGTCTTTGATGTGTAAATGGGCAAAAAGGCAGAAAAATTTGCGATGGGTTCACCTCTAGGAGCACTCAGGGAGAAGACTAATCGCCCAGGCCAGGGCTTGCTGCAAGCCAGCCTTCCCTTTCTGCATGTAGGTGCCTCTGATTCCCCATTCCACCTCTGAGCATGTCTGCACGTACCTGCTTCTTCGGTACGGATTTTGCTGGAGGGTAAACTTGGTTCCCCAACTCCAAGGATGTTGCTCGCTAAGACCCGAAACTCGTAATCCATCCATGGGATGAGGTTCACCACCTGGGCTGTCTCGGCATTGCCTTCGATGTTTACAGGATCTATATAATCCAATAACACGAGAGGAGAACAAATAGAGCAAATGGTGGACAGCCTGCGAGCACAGAGCAAGAGCTCAGCAGGGAGCTGGTGAGCCCAGGCTGGGACTTCAGGGACCACACCACAGCCCTGAGGGCACTTACTGGTGCGCATCTGCTTCCATTTGTTGGAGAGCAGTGTCCTGGCCTCGATGCTGTACCTGGCGATGGGGCTGTGGTTGTCGAAGCCACGGCTCCAGCTCAGTTGGACAGTGGTGTCACCGATGTCTCTCACCACCACACCCCCAGGGGGCCCGGGGGGTCCTGGGGTGAAGGAGAGAGGTGGACGTGTTACTGAAGTGTCAAGGATTTGGGGGTTTACTGCTCTTTGTGTCCTGCAAGTCATAAATGAAGATCAAACCTTTCTTTTCTGGAGGCAAGGAAGCCTCACCTCGCATTTTCCTTCTTCTAACGTTCACAACTCCCAGCCAAACGGAGTGTGAGATGGCAGGGTGGTTGCACAGCAAGGGCTGAGCCCTCACAAAGAGCCTGCTGGTGCTTCAGGTTCATAAACAGTGGGGATTACCTCTGACAGTCAGCATGGCCGACTCCGAAGTGCTGTCCACGACGGTTTGGGCTGTGCACGTGTACCGCCCCGAATGCTTCAGCTGGGCGTTGACGATGGCGAGGTCCCCGACAGCTTCCTTCTGTGCAGGGAGAAAGGACAGCAGGGAAACACGGCTGACCACAACCCACCGTGCAAACAAAGGGGCTGGTGTGGCTTTTCTGCCCTTATTGTTGGTGTGTAGTTCCCCTTGGTACTCACCACGCTGGCTCGCCGGTAGTGCCCCTCCGACCTGTCCAAGTCAATGGGGAAATCATCCAGGGACCAGGTGAAGGTTAGGTCCATGGTTGGATCGTGGGATGCGTGGCACTGCAGAGTGAGGTTTTCACCCACGTTGATATCAGCACTGGATGGTGCCAGTGTGATTTTGGTGGCATCTGCAGAGGAAGACGAGGGAGGGCTCTTTGGACCAGGTTTGGTGCACAGCAAAATGAACTAACACTTCCTAACTTGTCGTCATCCCTCTCTAGCAGGATTTTAGCTGTTGGCTTCTCTTGAGATGAAGATAAGAGATTAAAGTAGATAGGAAACAGAAATGCTTTTCTCATGGAGCAGACGTTGGTGGGTAAGGTTTGGTGGGTCTAACAGAAGGTTTGCTGATGCACAGGATGAAATGGCCTCAGATTCCCTGAGTACCCTATTGTTTTTTGGGGGTATACAGGGAAGAGAAATATTCCAATTCACATCGTGGCCTTCTTAGCCTTGATTGACCCCAAGTCAAGCCAAACATCTCTACCTCGAACAGAGAGGATCCCCGTGCTGTTGGCTTTGCCCATGAAGTTCTCAGCAAAGCAGGTGTACTTTCCCTCGTCAGATTTGCTGATGTTCTGGAGGATCAAGGTGCCATCGGCGGTAATAGTCACCCTGGGAATGAAGAGCCATAGCGAGAAAGAAGGTTAAAATGTCTACTCACTCTCTGCACCTACCAAACCATTTCCTGCTCTTGCTGATTTTAGAGAAAAAAGTGAAAAAGGCGGGCCTGCAAGATACAGTGAAAGATTTTTGTCAAAGGAGAAACTAGAGGAATAACAAAGGGTTCGTGTTTAGGGATGTAGCAGCACGCGTGGGTCATCGAGTCTCATCCTCTGGCAAGAAGAAATGTCAATTTTAGCAGTGTTTTTTTGGGGCCGAAGCTGACTGTGCTGCTACCTGCTGCTGTTGATGAGCAGTTCGGTCCCTTTGGTCCAGAGCACAGTGGCTTTTGGTGCTGCTCTCGGTTGGCAAGGGATGATGACCTTCCCACTCCGGGCTGCAGGTATCAGTCGTTTCACTGGGTTTAGTCTAAAATCTGGTGCTAAGGCTATATAGGGGGGGAAAAAAGAGGGTTAGCAAGGCCTGCTGTGTCAGCATTTTAAGTGCCGGGGCGTTAGATACTGCTTTCTTGGATGGCTTGGTAACAAAGCATGGCGATATCTGGCGAGCGGGATGCAGGAGTGGCTCCTCTGCTGCTGGGTGTCCAACCCCTGCCAGGCAGGTGCGAGGTGACACGCGTCGCACTTAGCAATGGCAACATGACCCTAACAAGTGCAAGGTCTTTGAGAGACACAAGAACAGCTGCTGTTGAAAATGTAGAGGATATTCCCTACAGCATCAGCCCAGTTCCAGCCGCTATGCCTGAGCTGGCTGGCTGGGCGCAGAGCTCACTTATTGGGCTTCTCTCCTCCCAAATAGAGGGAGGGCAATGGAAGGGAGTTGTGCTGCTGCTGTCTGTCCTGTACACTTTCTGTAGCTAAACAGATGTCCTTGTGCTCTTTCAGCATTGCTGAACTTACACCAGATTCAAATTTTAGAGGCTTGTAGAGCGTCGTGCTGAACCAGCAGCTATATTTCAATGGTGAGTGAAGCAGTTTTGTCTGCTCTGATCTTACTCTGAGATTGCAAACGTGGTATATCAGGAAGGAGATCTGAAATGCTTCAGTGTCCCATTGAAACCCAGAGCGCTGGGAAATGAGAAATTACCTTGCACTGTTAATTCAGCACTTGCATATACTGTGCCATGCTTGTTCTCAGCCACACATTGATACATGCCAGAGTCCTCCAGGACTAGCTTGGAAAATCTCAGCTCTCCACCGCTCACTTCGATGCGGTTCTGTGCAAACAAGAGGATGAACCCATTAGATGAGAAGAACAGAAATGGAACTCAAGCCTTGTCTGTTCAGGGCTGAGTTTCCTTGCAGGTTAAAGCCAGCCTGGTTTTCAGGGGGAGAAAGCACAGGCCATTTCCGCTGCATCCAGCCACCACCCCACGTGGCTACGCTCTGTTTGCTGAAACTGCTGAGAGCCTGAGCGGCAACTTGCAGCTCATACAAAGGCAGGA